TTTTGGGGGACATAATTCAATCCATGACAGCTGCTAACCAAATGGTCGGCAGTTCGAATCCACCAGCCACTCCTTGGAAACCCTGTGGGGTAGTTCTATTCTGTCCTGTAGGGTCCCTATGAGTTGGAATCAACTCGATTGCAACGGATTTTTTGTTTGTTTGTTTGTTTGTTTTGGAGTTATGGGTGTGTGTGTGTGTGTGTATGTGTGTGAATAACAGAGAAAGAGAGACAGAGGGGTTGTGAAGGCAGGGGACTGGCTAGGCAAACAGCTGAGATAATCTTCTCAAAACAGGAAAAGAAATTGTGACGTAGTAAAGTAAAAGGTGGCTACATTCCTGGTCAAAATAATATTACTGTTTATTCAGGTAGAATAAAAAATATAGGGTCACTAGGAGTCGGAATCAACTGGATGGCAGCGGGTTTGGTTTTGGATTTATTCAGGTAGATACTGGCTAATTTCTAAACCTTCTGCTTTAGGGCAGTTTTAAAAAGGTCAGAACAATGAATTATGTGTAGGATTTCTTTTAGCAGATTGGGATCACAGCTCAGTTTTTTGCATTCCACAAGTACTTTGAAAGCAGCTGTGATGCGGGGATTGTAAAAGAAATAGTAGATACAGTCCCTGCCCTTGAGGAATTTATCAACTTGTTGAAGAGACAAAAGTTATAAAAATGAAACAGATTTGGGGAAAAAGAAAAGACCGGTTTCAGGAAAGTACTGGGGTTTCGCTGCCCGGGAAGGTACATTTACTGTAGTGTCAGCAGCTGTGGCTGCAGGTCCTGGTGAAGCTCTTGGTGAAAGCTGGGCCCTTGGGGTTTGGATGACCCGAGGGGGTGCTTTCCCTTGGAGAAGACCCAGGGGAATGTATGAGTTTGTACAGGGAGTCTTTCTCGCATGTAGTTATCTGAGCTACTCCGTTTGTGGGTGTGTCCTTGTCACAGTTTTTGGGTATCAAGTCTTAGGACTTGTGGCTGCTTGGAGAAGAGCCATTAGGGACCTCCTGCTGGGAGGACCGTCAGCTGGCTGCCTGACCCCAGAGAACTCAAGCAACTCTTGTGTTCATGTCTCTATCTGCAAAGTGGGATACTGTTCCCCCCCGCCTACCTCAGATGATTGTATAGCCCGAGGTAGGAAATGGGGAAGCCCTTGGTTAAAGCTCTGTATAAATGGAGTGGTGGAGTATCCGCAGAAGCTCGTTGGGCGAAAAGAAATTGGAGTCAATGCCCTTCTTGATATTGATGGCTCTCCAGTGTCTCTACCTGGTCTTTCACATTCCTCTTCATTCCAGTGTTCTCTCTTCCTTGATTCTTACCTGTTCTCAAGTCTTCTTTCTCCTCTCCACACCTGCTCCTTAAGGATAGCTATTCCCCTAAGGTCTTTCCTCACGCCCCGTTCTCCACCATTTCTCTGATCCCAGGGTTTCCCTGGTGACGGCATGTGCATTTCTCCAAAATCTAGATCTCCAGCCCTGTCCTCACTCCTAAGCCCAGATCCTTGACATGTCTCTGAACCTCCTGCAGGCTCATCCAGGTCAGCTTGGCAGTCTCCCTGCATGTCCCACTTAAAGACTTCACCCTTCACAGAATCATCTTGACTTCTCTTGCTCCCACCTCTGTATGTGGTTCGTCACCAGAGGCTGCAATTTCTCCCCCTCAAATGCTGCTGGAATCAGTCTTCTCATTTCCATTCTCACTGTGATTTCCCTAGCTCATACTCTTAACTAGTATTTAGAAATGTTTAAAATTATGTATTAATTTATTTAGCAATAGAACTTCCTATATACCCTGAAGAAATCTTCCTTGTAGCTCTAACATGTAAGTCATAGAGTAGCTGTTTTGGTTGTGATTTGTTTGTGGGCTCCCTGCCAGGGGAGTCCTGCCCTTCTGTCCCTCCACTCCTCCCCACAGTGGACCCAAGGCGCCTGACACTAGGACTTCAGAACACATGATGGTTTCCTGCTGCTGATCCCCCGTCTGGCAACTTGTACTTTGCTTCTTGTTGAGAGATTTCCTTAGCACCAACTTCTGAGTATCTCACATCTGTCCGTATCTCAACATTACCTTCCGTACACCTGTCAGTTACTCTTATCCCTCCTTCCCAGTTGCTGTTTGCTTACCTGAGTGTCTTCTGTCTGTTCTCAATTGCCATGCCCTCATGTCACATCTGCAGTTGTGTTTGGTACCTCATGACCATGGGGCATTCTAGCTTTGCCTCAACGAATGACATCGTTTACCACCCAGGTGCACAAGCCAGAGAGCTTGAGGTAGTCCTTGACTCCTCCTATTCTCGTCCCCACTTGCTGTCCCCTCCCCGCCCTCACGTTGAGTCCATGACCAAATCCCCCTAATTCTACATACTCTTGAGTCACTTTTCTTCAGCTCCACACCATCATTCTGATCCTGATACCTATTACCTCTCACCTGAGTTACCTCAGTTGCATCTTAATGAATCTACTGAACCCACTCTTGACCTTGTGAAAGCATTTTCTACCCTTTACCTAGACAGATCTTTTAAAGATGTTAATACTGTTCATGTCATGTCACAGTCCTGCTTAAAACCCTTCTGTGCCTTGCCTTGCTCTTAGGAATAAAGACCACGATAGGAGAATGTTAGAAAACGTGGTCTACAAAGTCATGCGGATCTGCCCACCTACCTCCCTAGGTTCCCTTTCACTCTCTGGCTAGTGCCCCCTTTCTTGTAATGCACATACCTGTCTTCTTCCTATCCCAGGGCCTTTGAGTGTGCTGTTTACTTTGCCTGGAACTCTGTTCTTGTCTTTCAATTTAAAGCTCAAGCATCCAGTATTTACGACACCTACATGACACCCTCCCCTGCTAGGATTTTCCATCATCATCTTGCATATGGAACCTAGTGTCGCAGTGGTTAAGAGCTAAGCTGCTAACCAAAAGGTTGGCAGTTTGAATCCACCAGCCGCTCCTGGGAAACCCTATGGGGCAGTTCTACTCTGTCCTATAGGGTCACTGTGAGTTGGAATCAACTTGAAGGCAATGGATATCTTGCATATGCTCTCACAGCTCCCTGAACTCCCGTTTTATGGCACTTACCACAGTCTTTAATTATTTATTCATGTGATTGCTCATTAAGGCATTTCCCTCTGTAGACTCTAGTGAGATCCAAGGACGGGGATCATGTCTGTTTCGCTCACCATTTTACTGAGCCCTGTGATTAACATATAGTCTGTGCTGAATACGTATTATTAGATGAAGTGAGTTGTCCCATCATGCCCTACCTGTCAAGTCCCACAGAAATTAAATGGGGCCAAGTCCAGGCATGTCCTGGGTATGATGCTCTGCCACTAATCTCCTCCATAAGTCCAAACTCTAGTACCACCTTATAAGGGATAAATCATGACAGTATACAAAACGGGGCTACTGAAATTCTTATTCAACATCCTGCATTGTTTGTTGAAATTATTTGAATATGCATATTTATTACTTAATTTTCTTAGTATAAGGAATTTGATAGATAATACATACCGTTCTCTTAATTTACTGTGTTTCCTTGAATGTAGAGACAATAAAAAGTTTATCTCTTCATGTTAATTGTTTTCTTCTTTTAATCACACAAGAATTCTACTCCCCACTGGATTTCTTTTTTGTCTTAGCTGCTGGGGTACTCAGTGCTGAATTTAGTAGTTAACTGTAGTGATTAGCTCTGCCTGGGTGTCTGGTTACATCCTTCCTCTGCTCTTTTTAAAGTGATCTCTTTTTTTTTTTAATTGTTCTGTTGTGTTATGCTTACTTATTAAAGACAATTCAAACATTTTTGGTATAAAGATATGTATATAGGTATATATTATAAAAGCCTTATCCTTTTCTTAATATCATAGTGGTGTTAAAAGTAATTAAAACTCACTGAAATTTGAACATAACGTTTATTTTAGCAGAAATTCTGTATGCATATAGGGAGACCATTTTGATTCCAGAAAAAGCAAATGGCTTGAAGAAGGTAGATACAGTGGGGCTTATAAAGAGAAGACGAGGAAGAAATATAAAAGATCAACCACTGGCAAATCTTAACATGACTAATTGAACCCTGCCTTCCCCCTGTACTGAGATCAACTGATATCACTTTACTTCTGGCTTAAAAACCAAAAAAACCCAAACCTGTTGCCATAGAGTCAATTCTGACTCATAGTGACCCTAAAGGGCAGAGTAGAACTGCTTCATAGAGTATCCAAGCAGCGCCTGGTGGATTCAAGCTGCCGACCTTTTGGTTAGTAGCTACAGCACTTAAGCACTATGCCACCAGGGTCCCTCCAGGCAGCTGCCAGAAGAACAAACAAATCTGTCTTGAAAGACGTACAACCGGAGCGCGCCTTAGAAGCGAGGATGACGAGACTTCGTCTCATGTACTTTGGACGTGTTACCAGGAGGGACCCGTCCCTGGAGAAAGATATTATGCTTAGTACAGTAGACAACAAACCAAAAAATAAACCAAACCCGTTGCGGTTGAGTTGATTCCGACTCATAGCGACAATGAGTAGGGGGGGTCAGCCAGAAAGAGGAAGACCCTCAACAAGTGGATTTACACAGTGGCTGCAACAATGGGCTCGAACATAGCAACGACTGTGCAGGACTGGGTAGTGTTTCACTGTGAGTTGGGAACAGACTGTTGTTATGTGCCCTATAGAGCAGGCCAGAACTGACCCATAGGGTTTCCAAGGAGCAGATGGTGGATTATGAACTGCTGCCCTTCTGGTTACCAGCTGTAGCTCTTAACCACTACACCACCAGGGAACCAAATACATGGTACCTAACAACAATAACCATCCACCTGCAGCCAAGAGACTTTTTGAGATTTAAATTAGGAGGTGATGGTTTGTTGACTACCCTTTTCTAGCAGGATAAGACAAATTTACATTGGTATAGAGCAGTTTCTGGCAGGCTTTTTTTGCTGGTTAATATTTGGTTTTATGGATAAGAAAAACCTTAAAATCAAAGTAAGATGTCTGTTATTAATTATCCTCTTCAACAGTGGTAACAATCCATATTCCTCATTTGGGGCAACTCTGGTGAGGGATGATGAAAAGAATTTGTGGAGTATGCCTCATGATGTGTCGCACACGGAGGCAGATGACGACAGAATCCTGTACAACCTGATAGTCCTTCGTAATCAACAGGCCAAAGATTCCGAGGTAAGCACCTTTTAAGATCTCACCGTGTACAGATGAAAATGTTCAGTTAAAAAAAAAAAAGAAATTTACTCAGAAGACCATCTTGAAATAAAGAATGAATTATGAGATATTTGAAATGAAGGGCAGGTATGTTAGTAATATGTATTATCACTAGTTACTAATAGCTAGTCTCGATAGACCTGCTTGGTAGACAGATATGACTTGTTTCTAATTGTTATCTGAATGGTAGAGATTACACACAGGGCAGCTTTGTTGAAGAGTGTGAAGATAGTTCATGTACTTAAATGGCTTAAACGGTTCGTCTCCAGTCTTTGCAGTTGTTTAGCAAGCTGCAGTTGGGCGATCCAGACTGCACCAGGCTGAAGGGTGCTTTGCATTCCCTCTCATTCTGAATTAGTGGGGCCTGAATTAGAAGTCTTATTTTTTTCTATTTAAAGCTTCCTAAATCGTGCCTGTTGACCAAACAGTAGCATATCTGTTTGATATTTGATATGATTTTTGTATAAAGGCTCTGAACCACTCCTAACAACCTTAAGTTATTGGTATGGGAACATTAGAATATTAAGAAGGAGGGGATTTAATAAGAGAAAATAGCAAAGGAGATCATCCTCCCCTTTCTTTCTAAAGTAGTATTATAGTACTGTTATAATGCAATATGATAGCGTATTATAGCTATCATTTTCCAAATAATGCAGCTTAGGTTTTCTGACTTCTGTGTTCGTCAGTAACTTGAGTGAACCCAAAACCAAACCAAACCCGTTGCCGTTGAGTCATTTCCGACTCAGAGCGACCCTATAGGACAGAGTAAACCTGCCCCATAGGGTCTCCAAGGAGCGGGCTGGTGGATTTGAACTGCTGACCTTTCGATTAGCGGCCAAACGCTTAATCACTGCGCCTATATTAAATATAGACTGCCTGTTTCTTTGTATCTGATAATAATTGAGAACAGGCAGATTTGGGTTCAGGCTCTGGAGAAAACACCAGAATGTGCAGTGAGTGGGGAGTCTTCAGTAAAGCCTCCAGCCACCCAAGGAGGTGTCCTCATCATCGTCCCCATCCCGTGTCCATTGTGGAACTTCACCCACCACCCACCGCTCTCCGAGACTGAGGAGAATGACCCATGGGGTCAGACTGATAAGTACATAATCATGAAAAAATCTTTATTTATGACAGCCCTGCCTTGTTGAGGAAACAAAAGCTTTCATCTGTCTAAAAGCTGGGAAGAACAAGTCATTTGTTTGCCTTGGCTAACGTGAGCCTGGTGATTTGATTTTCATGGTTCTCCAGTTAGAGCTGCCAGGACTTTAGAGGCCTTCCAGTCAAGGCATCTCCCCCGCCCTGCTCCCCCACCCCACCTCCTCTGTAGTTAGAGGGAACTGGGACCCAGAGAGGTGAAGTAGCTTGCTCAAGATCCCACAGCAGGCTAGAACTAGATTTGAACCAAGACCCAGGTCTGCTGACCCCTCCCTCAATGTGTTTTACAATATATCATCCTGGCCCCAGATAAGCTTTGGTTAGCACAATAAAGGTAGGTTTTTAGTATTGATCTTTTAACATTCCTAATAAGACAACAGGACCATGGTGGTGCAGTGGTTAAGAGCTTGGCTACTAACCAAAATGTCCGCAGTTCGAATCTACCAGCTGCTACTTGGAAACTCTATGGGGTAGTTCTACTCTGTCCTCTAGGGTCACTATGAGTTGGAATCGACTCAATGGCAGTGGGTTTGGTTTTTTTGGAATAAGATAACATTTTGCAGCATCATTTAGGAGCTAATGAGACTAAGCATAAAATTAACTAATGATTCAGAATACTATTATTTCCGCGGGAGCTCTGGTGGCGAAGTGGTTAAGTGCTCAGCTGCTAACCAAAAGATTGGAGATTCAAAACCACCAGCCGCTCCTTGGGAGAAGTATGTGGCAGTCTGCTTCCGTAAACATTTACAGCCTTGGAAACCCTATGGGGCAGTTCTACTCTGTCCTACAGGATTGCTAGGAGTTGTTATTTCTGTAGGCCCTTTCATTTCAGGAGGCCAGACAGTATAAAACTTGTTCCTTATCTGGGTTTCTTTAGTTTGCTAATTAATTGGTAACTAATTTTTCCCCAAAACATGTTTTAGCAGGAGATGATAACTTTAGGAGTGCCACGTGCCCAGGTTTATTCAGGTGTGATTTGGATGGGTTTGGGAGGTTAGATGCAGGGCTTCGAACAGGTTCATTCCCATTCGAACCCCCGCTGATAATTTGCATTTTTACCCCAGATATACTGAATCAGAATCTACAGTTTAACAAGATGCCCAGGTGATTCTTGTATCATTTCCTGGGATCTTGTTAGAAATGCAGATTTTCAGCATGAGTTCTGACTTTGATGGAACAGGTTCGAAGGCCTTGTTAGATGTGGGTGTGAAGGTGGGGATCAAGGGGTGGAGGAAGGGCTGACAGTTGCTTTGTGGTTCTTGAGGCCTGGTGCAAAAGATTTGTGTTTGACTATTAACCTAAAGGTTGGTGGTTTGAACCCTCCCAGTGATGCTGTGGAAGAAAGGCCTGGTGATCTGCTTACGTAAAGATTAAAAAAAAAAAAAAACTTGCTGTCGAGTCGATTCTGACTTGAAAACCCTCTGGAGAAGTTCTACTCGGGAACACGTGGGATTGTCCTCAGTCGGAATCGACATGATGGCAGTGGGTTTGATTTGGTTTTGGTAAAGAACAAGGAATCCTAGATATTTTTGCATGATACAATTTAGAAGCTAAAGCAATATACTAAGGAAATGTAAACATTATGTTTTTGCTCCAGTAGCAATAGCAACAAAGAAATAGGAATAGCCACATTTGAAACTCTCTGAGTAATGAAAAATAATTTCAAAAACACTGTGTTTACTACCTGCGTTCCCCTACTAAGTCTGAAGCCGGTGGAGGAAGAGCTACAAATCTTTAAGACTAAATTAGTAATTTTCTCCCAAACTGAAAAAAAAAAAAATCAGAAAAGAAGATATATAGGAGAGTCAGTAATGAAGAGGAGCCTTGGTGGTGCAGTGGTTAAGAGCTCGGTTGCTAACAAAAGGTTGGCAGTTCAAACTCATCAACCCTCTCTGCAGGAGAAAGATGTGGTAATCTGCTTCCGTGAAGATTACAGCTCGGGAAACCCTATGGGGCAGTTCTCTGTCCTGTAGGGCTGCTATGAGTGCTATGAGTTGGAGTCAACTTGACGGCAACAGGTTGTTTGGTCGGTTGGAAATAATGAAGCAAAGGTGTAAACTTATAATAATTTGTTCAGTGTCAGAAGATGTAAAAGGTAACATTCTTGAAATCTAATAGAATCCACTTCCATTTACACAAGCCTTCAAGAGCTGATGGAAAACAGATTCTTAGCCGAAGAAACAATACATTTGTAGACCTCCAAATGGTGGAAATATTATTGCTCTTGTCTTTGAATTATGCCATAAAATACTTTGACTAAAAAATAGTAAACAGCCTTAAAATTATGTCACTAAATCATTATCCTTATGTTCTTTCTTGTTAAACTGGTTGTGTTTCACATAACACACACTGTTCTAGGAAGCTTAATAATTATTAATGAAATATCAATGCATCTTATTAATTTATCTAAATGATTATAATCATACTGAGCAATCTTTTCTTCTAAGACAGTAATAATAATGAAAACAGTGCCAGACACTGTTCTAACCACTTTACATGTATTAACTATTTACTCCTGACAATAACTCTGTGAGGTAGGACCATTGTTTCTATTTCAGGCAACTTGGTCAAGGTCATACAGCTAGTAAGTGTGGGGTCAGGATTTGAATCCAGGCTTTGTGAATCTAGAGACATAATATGTAATGAGTACCAGTTGCTGTGGAGTCGATTACATCTTATGGTGACCCCATGTGTTTGAGAGTAGAACTGTGGTCCATAGGATTTTCAATGGCTATGATCTTTTTGAAGTAGATCACCAGGACTTTCTTTTGAGGCACCATCTGGGTGGATTCAAACCACCAACCTTTGGTTAGTAGCTGAGCGTTTAACTATTTGTACCACCCCAATACAATGAATGAAATCTTCAGGGAGGACCAGATGTTATCTGTGATTAAATAATAGAGTTCAAAATGCATGAGCAAAGTCTGCCCAAAGCCTTTCCTTGTGACTTGTTGATACCAATGAGTATGAAAGGCATTTTCGCATCAGCAGTATCATGCTGTGTTTGTATGAGGATCATGACTATGTTTCAGGAAGTATTCCCAGTCCTAACACATATTCCCCGAGTTGTGCTTTTGCGTGGTGATCGTAGCTGGTTAAGATTCCTGCTTTGGGCTTCTGGTTTATTAGCTCCAAGATGCTTCATTCTGTCGCTTCCCATTCCTTCTTCGCTTTGCTGAGTGTTCTCTGACCTATGCTATTTGCGGTCCCTTTTGATGATTCTGTAGCCATTCCTGTATAGTTTCATATATTACATTAAGCCATTTTTACCCTGCTAAAAACTTGTAAACTTTTGATTAAGAAAATAAATGCTAAAAATAAAATCGTTCCCCAAAACACTTTATTGTAGTAAAAAAATATATATACAAAATATTTGCCATTTCATCATTTCTTACATGTACAGTTCAGTGACATCAGTTATGTTCATCATGTTGGGAACTGTGAGTTTAAGATAATGGTGGTAGAATAATTTGGAAAAGGATAGTAAGATTGGCAGCACAACTTGAAGAATGTAATCAATGTCACTGAACTGTACACGTAGAAGTTGTTGAAATGGTGTATCTTTGGCTGTGTATACTTTCTCCAAAAACAAACAAACAAGCAAACAAAAACACTTGTAAGCAGGGCAGATTATCCAATAGGCAAGGTAAGCACAGTGTTTACCTTGCTTACCAGATCATTTGTAGTGAACAATTCTATATTTTTTCACCACATCTAGGATTCCGCTTCTAGGTATAGCTGGCATCTGTCTCTCTCCTAACCCCACAGTACCTTCCTACAGAATCAAAGCCTCTTTTTAAATTTAC